CCACCCCCCACCCCCCTCCCCCAACCCAACTCCCATGTTCTTACTTGCATGAACATTGAATAAATCCGGATTCAATCCCTATCAAATAATATATAATCATTAAGAGAAATAAAATTTGTAATGTATAACAAAATGATAAAATAGTTCGAGAGTAATGCAAACATACCAAACAAAGGATTGATCCCGTTGATACAGTGATATACTGACAGTATTACAATACGTGAGTTATAGTGAGTAGGTGATACAGTGATATACTTACAGTATTACAATACGTGAGTTATAGTGTCTAGGTGATACATTGATATACTGACAGTATTACAGTACGTGAGTTATAGTGTCTAGGTGGTACAGTGAAATGCTGAAAGTATTACAATACGTGAGTTATAGTGTCTAGGTGGTACAGTGATATGCTGAAAGTATTACAATACGTGAGTTATAGTGTCTAGGTGCTACAGTGATATACTGACAGTATTACAATACGTGAGTTATAGTGTCTAGGTGATACAGTGATATACTAACAGTATTACAATACGTGAGTTATAGTGTCTAGGTGGTACAGTGATATACTGACAGTATTACAATACGTGAGTTATAGTGTCTAGGTGGTACAGTGATATACTGACAGTATTACAATACGTGAGTTATAGTGTCTAGGTGGTACAGTGATATACTGACAGTATTACAATACGTGAGTTATAGTGTCTAGGTGGTACAGTGATATACTGACAGTATTACAATACGTGAGTTATAGTGTCTAGGTGGTACAGTGATATACTGACAGTATTACAATACGTGAGTTATAGTGTCTAGGTGGTACAGTGATATACTGACAGTATTACAATACGTGAGTTATAGTGTCTAGGTGGTACAGTGATATACTGACAGTATTACAATACGTGAGTTATAGTGTCTAGGTGGTACAGTGATATACTGACAGTATTACAATACGTGAGTTATAGTGTCTAGGTGGTACAGTGATATACTGACAGTATTACAATACGTGAGTTATAGTGTCTAGGTGGTACAGTGATATACTGACAGTATTACAATACGTGAGTTATAGTGTCTAGGTGGTACAGTGATATACTGACAGTATTACAATACGTGAGTTATAGTGTCTAGGTGGTACAGTGATATACTGACAGTATTACAATACGTGAGTTATAGTGTCTAGGTGGTACAGTGATATACTGACAGTATTACAATACGTGAGTTATAGTGTCTAGGTGGTACAGTGATATACTGACAGTATTACAATACGTGAGTTATAGTGTCTAGGTGGTACAGTGATATACTGACAGTATTACAATACGTGAGTTATAGTGTCTAGGTGGTACAGTGATATACTGACAGTATTACAATACGTGAGTTATAGTGTCTAGGTGGTACAGTGATATACTGACAGTATTACAATACGTGAGTTATAGTGTCTAGGTGGTACAGTGATATACTGACAGTATTACAATACGTGAGTTATAGTGTCTAGGTGGTACAGTGATATACTGACAGTATTACAATACGTGAGTTATAGTGTCTAGGTGGTACAGTGATATACTGACAGTATTACAATACGTGAGTTATAGTGTCTAGGTGGTACAGTGATATACTGACAGTATTACAATACGTGAGTTATAGTGTCTAGGTGGTACAGTGATATACTGACAGTATTACAATACGT